CCTAAATACATCTCTTGTTAACTGCAGTCCTAAATACATCTCTTGTTAACTGCAGTCCTAAATACATATCTTGGTGCCTGCAGTCCTAAATACATCTCTTGATAACTGCAGCCCTAAATACATATCTTGTTAACTGCAGTCCTAAATATTTATATATCTTGTTAACTGCAGTCCTAAATACATATCTTGTTAACTGCAGTCCTAAATATATCTCTTGTTAACTGCAGTCCTAAATATATATATATCTTGTTAACTGCATTCCTAAATACATATCTTGTTAACTGCAGTCCTAAATATTTATATATCTTGTTAACTGCAGTCCTAAATACATATCTTGTTAACTGCAGTCCTAAATATATCCCTTGGTGCCTGCAGTCTTAAGTTAGAACATGTTCACTGACAGGTCAGCAAGGGCCCCGCCATGTGCCTGACTGTACCTCCACATGGTCTATTTTTAGTAACATTGACATTGACCTTGACCTTAAGAATCTTTTAAAACCCTATTGCACATCTACATGTCACAGAGTAACAACACATCAAATTCCCCCCCCCCCCCCCCCCCAAAAAAAAAAAAATTCTTTTGGACTCTGAGAATTTATTTAGAAATTGAAGTGTGAATGGACAGATAGATGGACAGACAGAGACTGTGATTACTATAGGGCACCCTTATCTCTGATGCGGGACCCTACAGATCGAAGTGTAATAAAGGACTCGCACAACGAAATCAGCCAATCAGCAAGGGTTTCATATGATCTAATCCTTACCTAAAATTTGTTCTGGTTAAATATATGCAGTGCCTCTGAGTAATTTAAATATGTAAATATTGACAACTTTTTTATTGAATGAAATCTACAGCTATTTAACTTTGGAAAATATGTAGTTTTAGTTGACTTTGATACACGATGCCAGATTTATACCGGTTCAAAAGTCAGGGGTTGATCCTGCCCTGCTTCACTAGTTTGGCTTGTAAACTTTCGGTTGTCAAAAGCAGACGCCTGTAGCGATCTTATAAGTCACTAAACCTGCAAAAAAATGCATTTTGAAGCCTTTGTCAGGTATGTATCTGTGAATGTAGACAGTTGCCACTCACACTAGTGCCTAAAGCCTACCAGAATTGTCTGTGCTGTCATTACACAGGTGTAATATGCCACAAACTATAAATAGAATATTTACCTATAAGTTTCTTCATTTCCAGATGTGACTCGGGGATAATGATTGGTTGAAATTGCCTTGACAACACACTGTCTTCTTTGTGCTGTATGTCTTCCTCAGGAATGGCTTCCACCTCTTCCATAAATAATCTCTTTAATACGCCACACACTTCAACTGAAATACGTAAATAATCTCTTTAATATGCCACACACTTCAACTGAAATACATAAATAATCTCTTTAATACGCCACGCACTTCAACTGAAATACGTAAATAATCTCTTTAAACGCCACACACTTCAACTGAAATACGTAAATAATCTCTTTAATATGCCACACACTTCAACTGAAATACGTAAATAATCTCTTTAATACGCCACACACTTCAACTGAAATACGTAAATAATCTCTTTAATACGCCACACACTTCAACTGAAATACGTAAATAATCTCTTTAATACGCCACACACTTCAACTGAAATACGTAAATAATCTCTTTAATACGCCACACACTTCAACTGAAATACGTAAATAATCTCTTTAATACGCCACACACTTCAACTGAAATACGTAAATAATCTCTTTAATACGCCACACACTTCAACTGAAATACGTAAATAATCTCTTTAATACGCCACACACTTCAACTGAAATACGTAAATAATCTCTTTAATACGCCACACACTTCAACTGAAATACGTAAATAATCTCTTTAATACGCCACACACTTCAACTGAAATACGTAAATAATCTCTTTAATACGCCACACACTTCAACTGAAATACGTAAATAATCTCTTTAATACGCCACACACTTCAACTGAAATACGTAAATAATCTCTTTAATACGCCACACACTTCAACTGAAATACGTAAATAATCTCTTTAATACGCCACACACTTCAACTGAAATACGTAAATAATCTCTTTAATACGCCACACACTTCAACTGAAATACGTAAATAATCTCTTTAATACGCCACACACTTCAACTGAAATACGTAAATAATCTCTTTAATACGCCACACACTTCAACTGAAATACGTAAATAATCTCTTTAATACGCCACACACTTCAACTGAAATACGTAAATAATCTCTTTAATATGCCACACACTTCAACTGAAATACGTAAATAATCTCTTTAATACGCCACACACTTCAACTGAAATACGTAAATAATCTCTTTAATACGCCACACACTTCAACTGAAATACGTAAATAATCTCTTTAATACGCCACACACTTCAACTGAAATACGTAAATAATCTCTTTAATACGCCACACACTTCAACTGAAATACGTAAATAATCTCTTTAATACGCCACACACTTCAACTGAAATACGTAAATAATCTCTTTAATACGCCACACACTTCAACTGAAATACGTAAATAATCTCTTTAATACGCCACACACTTCAACTGAAATACGTAAATAATCTCTTTAATACGCCACACACTTCAACTGAAATACGTAAATAATCTCTTTAATACGCCACACACTTCAACTGAAATACGTAAATAATCTCTTTAATACGCCACACACTTCAACTGAAATACGTAAATAATCTCTTTAATACGCCACACACTTCAACTGAAATACGTAAATAATCTCTTTAATACGCCACACACTTCAACTGAAATACGTAAATAATCTCTTTAATACGCCACACACTTCAACTGAAATACGTAAATAATCTCTTTAATACGCCACACACTTCAACTGAAATACGTAAATAATCTCTTTAATACGCCACACACTTCAACTGAAATACGTAAATAATCTCTTTAATACGCCACACACTTCAACTGAAATACGTAAATAATCTCTTTAATACGCCACACACTTCAACTGAAATACGTAAATAATCTCTTTAATACGCCACACACTTCAACTGAAATACGTAAATAATCTCTTTAATACGCCACACACTTCAACTGAAATACGTAAATAATCTCTTTAATACGCCACACACTTCAACTGAAATACGTAAATAATCTCTTTAATACGCCACACACTTCAACTGAAATACGTAAATAATCTCTTTAACATAAATAATCTCTTTAATACGCCACACACTTCAACTGAAATACGTAAATAATCTTTTTAATACCCCACACACTTCAACTGAAATACGTAAATAATCTCTTTAACATAAATAATCTCTTTAATACGCCACACACTTAAACTGAAATACGTAAATAATCTCTTTAACATAAATGATCTCTTTAATATGCCACACACTTCAACTGAAATACATAAATAATCTCTTTAATACGCCACGCACTTCAACTGAAATACGTAAATAATCTCTTTAACATAAATAATCTCTTTAATACGCCACACACTTAAACTGAAATACGTAAATAATCTCTTTAACATAAATGATCTCTTTAATATGCCACACACTTCAACTGAAATACATAAATAATCTCTTTAATACGCCACACACTTCAACTGAAATACATAAATAATCTTTTTAATACGCCACACACTTCAACTGAAATACATAAATAATCTTTTTAATAGTCCTAACACAAGATTCTGCAAATTTTTAATTAGCCTCACACTTTTTCTAAATTACAGAATTTTTTCTTTTTACATGATACAAATCTACTGGAAGAGTTTAGCACAAAGTTTCTAAAAAAGTGATCAGACAGTTCCTTAGAATGACAACTATTAAATAGTAGACAGTGACCTTGACCTTGGCCCTTAAACACAACCTCATTCTAGGTATTGATTTCTGTACATGTACTTGACTACTAGATTGCATGATATGTTTGATAAAAAATCTTATTTCAGAAATGAAGTCGTTGAAAAAGCAAAATTGTTTTACTATAATACGGCCTTGTCCATAGCACTTTGAAACATGGACTGTTTCAAGGTATAACAGACTTGCCAATTTTTTGAAATTTCTAGTGGGTGATTACGCATACCCCCGGGATCTCTAGCTTACTAGTGTTATACCCTAATGAATGAGCTAAACAGAAGAAATTCTCTCTAGCCGAGTGGGTAGGAAGCGGCTAGTATTTACCAAGGCTGACATACCACACTCAGTAGATAGTTACCATTGGGCTTCAGTCGTATCATGTTGTTAGAGAGGATATTGTTATGCTCTGTCTGCATGAGGTAGGGCACCAGACGCCCCGGGTCGGGGAAGGATTTCTCCTTGTCACGCAGCAAGTAGAAGACTCCACTCTCTTGTTGTACAATCTCTGTCATGATTTGACCCTTTGATGGATAAGCGAGGACAAACTGGTCGAAATTCTTGACGTCCTGCTTACAAAGATAGTAGCACTCCTGGTCATCCATCTTGGAATTAAGTTTTCCAATGGCACAGGATGTCCTGAAATTTTGTTAAAAATATATATAAGTTTTAACAAAAAGCTTTGAATCATTTCTCCCTCTGTATACATGTATAAACCTCTCCTTCTCAGTCTCTTTATGTGATCATGATCGGCCCTCCGTTCTGATCTAGATCCGATCTTCTTTTTTCTATCTTTCTCCCTTTTTATATCTTTGATGCCTCTTTCTCTCTTTATGCTCTCCCTATTTCTGATTAACCACTCAGACTGGCTCTCTCCCTATTTCTGATTAACCACTCAGACTGGCTCTCTCCCTATTTCTGATTAACCACTCAGACTGGCTCTCTCCCTATTTCTGATTAACCACTCAGACTGGCTCTCTCCCTATTTCTGATTAACCACTCAGACTGGCTCTCTCCCTATTTCTGATTAACCACTCAGACTGGCTCAATCCTTATTTCTGATTAACTATTCAGACTGACTCTCTCCCTATTTCTGATTAACCACTCAGACTGACTCTCTCCCTATTTCTGATTGACCACTCAGACTGGCTCTCTCCCATATCTGATTAACCACTCAGACTGGCTCTCTCCCTTTTTCTGATTAACCACTCAGATTGGCTCTCTCCCTATTTCTGATTGACCACTCAGACTGGCTCTCTCCCATATCTGATTAACCACTCAGACTGTCTCTCTGCCTATTTCTGATTAACCACTCAGACTGGCTCTCTCCCTATTTCTGATTGACCACTCAGACTGGCTCTCTCCCTATTTCTGATTAACCACTCAGACTGGCTCTCTGCCTATTTCTGATTAACCACTCAGACTGGCTCTCTCCCTATTTCTGATTAACCACTCAGACTGGCTCTCTCCCTATTTCTGATTAACCACTCAGACTGGCTCTCTCCCTATTTCTGATTAACCACTCAGACTGGCTCTCTCCCTATTTCTGATTAACCACTCAGACTGGCTCTCTCCCTATTTCTGATTAACCACTCAGACTGGCTCTCTCCCTATTTCTGATTAACCACTCAGACTGGCTCTCTCCCTATTTCTGATTAACCACTCAGACTGGCTCTCTCCCTATTTCTGATTAACCACTCAGACTGGCTCTCTCCCTATTTCTGATTAACCACTCAGACTGGCTCTCTCCCTATTTCTGATTAACCACTCAGACTGGCTCTCTCCCTATTTCTGATTAACCACTCAGACTGGCTCTCTCCCTATTTCTGATTAACCACTCAGACTGGCTCTCTCCCTATTTCTGATTAACCACTCAGACTGGCTCTCTCCCTATTTCTGATTAACCACTCAGACTGGCTCTCTCCCTATTTCTGATTAACCACTCAGACTGGCTCTCTCCCTATTTCTGATTAACCACTCAGACTGGCTCTCTCCCTATTTCTGATTAACCACTCAGACTGGCTCTCTCCCTATTTCTGATTAACCACTCAGACTGGCTCTCTCCCTATTTCTGATTAACCACTCAGACTGGCTCTCTCCCTATTTCTGATTAACCACTCAAACTGGCTCTCTCCCTATTTCTGATTAACCACTCAGACTGGCTATCTCCCTATTTCCGCTTTACTACTCGGACTGGCTCTCTATTATCTCCCTCTGTGACTTCTTCAATCCATTGCTCTTATTTATCCCTTTGATCTTTCTCTCTCTCTGATCGGCTCTCTTTGATCTAGCTCATCTAATCTCTTCGATCAATTGCTCTTATTTATCACTTTGATCTCTACCTCTCCCTCTCTGAAGGGCCGGGGCCGTGGTGGCCTAGTGGTTATTAAGGCGCCTGACATTCTGCTACCACTAGCCCTCCACCTCTTGGCCGCAGGTTCAAGGCCTATGTGGGGCAGTCGCCAGGTACAAGCCGCAGGAAGGTGTTTTTTCCCCGAGGTACTCCAGCTTTCCTCCACAAACCTGACACGTCCTTAAATGACCATAGCTGTTAATAGGACGTAAAACACAAACAAATCGAATTTCCCTCTCTGATCAGTCCAACCTTATCTCTTTGATCAATCTTTCCCTTTCTGATCATCAGCCCCACCTTATCTCTTTGATCAATCTTTCAGATTTATCACTTTGATCTCTCTCTTTGATCTCTTTCTGATCAAGATCTACCATTTTTAACTCTCTAATCGCTCCCTTCGATCAACCATTCATTTTTCCTCACTCTCTCTCTTTCTATTTCTCTCCCCTCTGTGATTTCTCTTTCATTTTATATTTTGATTTTCTCTACTTCTCTATGAATGAACTCTCTGCTTCTTTGTGATTTCTCATTCTATCTCTTTGTCTCGTAAGTCACTCGTCAATTGAAAAATCGTAGGACTCACTCAATTGGGCCATGTGATTTGATACGTTTGAGTGACTGTAAGGAGATTGGTTCCATTTGGCTGCACAAGCTGAAGTAGAAGTCGTGGATGAGGCGATAGTATCCATCCAAGCAAGACACGAATGACTCCGCGATTTCCGTACTCGCAAACTCCAACACCTGTTAGGCATAAACGACAGGGGAGGTAAGTTAATACATAACAGACAGGGGAGGTAAGTCAATACATACCTGACAGGGGTGGTAAGTCAATACATAACAGACAGGGGAGGTAAGTCAATACATAACAGACAGGGGAGGAAAGTCAATACATAACAGACAGGGGAGGTAAGTCAGTACACAACAGACAGGGGAGGTAAGTCAAGACATAACAGACAGGGGAGGTAAGTCAATACATAACAGACAGGGGAGGTAGGTCAGTACACAACAGACAGGGGAGGTAAGTCAATACATAACAGACAGGGGAGGTAAGTTAATACATAACAAACAGGGGAGGTAAGTCAATACATAACAGACAGGGGAGGTTAGTCAATACATAACAGACAGGAGAGGTAAGTCAATACATAACCGACAGGGGAGGTAAGTCAATACATAACAGACAGGGTAGGTAAGTCAATACATAACAGACAGGGGAGGTAGGTGAGTACACAACAGACAGGGGAGGTAAGTCAATACATCCCAGACAGGGGAGGTAAGTCAATACATAACAGACAGTAAGTCAAAACATAACAGACAGGAGAGGTAAGTCAATACATAACAGACAGGGGAGGTCAATACATAACAGACAGTAAGTCAATACATAACAGACAGGGGAGGTAAGTCAATACATAACAGACAGTAAGTCAATGCATAACAGACAGGGGAGGTAAGTCAATACATAACAAACAGGAGAGGTAAGTGAATACATAACAGACAGGAGAGGTATGTCAATACATAACCGACAGGGGAGGTAAGTCAATACATAACAGACAGTAAGTCAATACATAACAAACAGGAGAGGTAAGTCAATACATAACAGACAGGAGAGGTATGTCAATACATAACAGACAGGAGAGGTATGTCAATACATAACCGACAGGGGAGGTAAGTCAATACATAACAGACAGGGGAGGTAAGTCAATACATAACAAACAGGAGAGGTAAGTCAATACATAACCGACAGGGGAGGTAAGTCAATACACAACAGACAGGGGAGGTAAGTCAATACATAACAGACAGGAGAGGTATGTCAATACATAACCGACAGGGGAGGTAGGTCAATACATAACAGACAGGGGAGGTAAGTCAATACATAACCGACAAGGAAGGTAAGTCAATACACAACAGACAGGGGAGGTAAGTCAATACACAACAGACAGGGGAGGTAAGTTAATACATAACAGACAGGGGAGGTAAGTCAATACATAACCGACAGGGGAGATAAGTCAATACATAACAGACAGAGGAGGTAGGTCAATACATAACAGACAGTAAGTCAATACATAACAGACAGGGGAGGTAAGTTAATACATAACAGACAGGGGAGATAAGTCAATACATAACCGACAGGGGAGGTAAGTCAATACATAACCGACAGGGGAGGTAAGTCAATACATAACCGACAGGGGAGATAAGTCAATACATAACAGACAGAGGAGCTAGGTCAATACATAACAGACAGTAAGGCAATACATAACAGACAGGGGAGGTAAGTTAATACATAACAGACAGGGGAGGTAAGTCAATACATAATAGACAGGGGAGGTAAGTCAATACACAACAGACAGTAAGTCAATACATAACAGACAGGGGAGGTAAGTCAATACATAACAGACAGGGGAGGTAAGTCAATACATAACCGACAGGGGAGGTAAGTCAATACATAACAGACAGGGGAGGTATGTAATTATAAATAATAATGTTTTAATTTTATACAGATTGTTACATCTTTACCATCTGAATAGCCTTTTATTGCAAATGAAATAAGAAAATTTCAATTGATAACGATGAAAACCCAAACATATGTGGGGTTACTTAAGATAGAGAAACCATTCTTTTGGGGCGATAGAATCATGTCAGATATAAAATTATGGTCTAGAAGTTAGGTGTCAGTAAAATCAGGTTTAACAATACACATTTAAAGCGGAGATTTTCATGCAAGGTAATTGCTGTGTTATGACTCTTTAAAGCTGATAGTGCAAATTAGAAAACTTTCAATAGAAATTGAAAAATAAAAGTTTTATTTTCTGGTTTTGAGATGTTCCCCTGGTGACTATCTGGTTGTCGTTTCTAAGGAAGCGCCAACATTTTAGTTTGCTAGGTAACAAGTATGTGTCTCCCTGGGTATAAAAAGCACATAATTAACCTGTCAAACCAGTTTTTTTCCAGTATATAATACTTAAAAAGTATCATATTAGTTGGATATACTGACCTCTGGTCTACCATTGGTGCGGTCAAGATGGACATTCCAGGTGTTAGAATTGTTCAGGTAATTTGGAGTTATGCTCGCAGAACAAAGCTCTTCTATTTTTGAAAATGGAATCTGGAAGAGAAACAATCAATTGAGGATCATTGTGACAATCGGGAACTACAAAAATCTGCCAATATATGTCTTGAACACACTTCAAAATGAAGTATAATAATGATCACTGTATTTCTCTTACAAAATACTTCTGTTGTCACAAAGTGCTCTATGCACCCCTGGACAATGTCATGGCAGACCAGAAGGCTCATTGTGGATGAGACAAGGAAACAATTTCGATGTGTGAATGTACATCAAAAGGATCCTGCAGTAGTGTATGGTTAACACTGTCTTGCTATGAAGTTGTGTGACACTCCTCTATAATCTTCAAAGGACAGCTGGTATCAGCCTAGCGATTGGTCAGGTTTTCTTACCCGGATTGGTCAGGTGTTTTTTTTACCTGAGACAAGTCAAATTGCTGCATGCTTCAATTCTGTGATATAATCCAGGGGTTAAAAGAATGTAAGTAAAAGTTATCCATGGAGTATCGAGGATGAATCAATCTGTTTGGTGGCTTGTCTCACCCTAAGTGGAAACTCCTTAGCAATACCTTATTTAGAACCTACATCCGTGTATACAATGACATTCAGATATTTTGAGAGTCAGACTCCAGCAGTTATCACCAAGACAATGTTGTCCCTTTCACGATACAACAAGTCAGATTTGTGAGCTGCTACCAGTATATAACTGTACTATTGTCCGTTAGGTGCATCATAGGATCACATTCTTTTTGCTGCCAGAATCTATTTATCTATTCAGGACAAGTAGTTTTTTTAAATAGAAATATTTACAGACAGGACACTGAACGATTACTGAACCTGATCCCAGACAACAGCCAGTACAGTAAAGTCTAACCTCAAATTACACATGAGAAACTCACGGGCGGCACACGAGAAACAAGTTGGAAATGTATGCAAATTAAGTTTTGTACACGAGCTTCAAGTAAGTTTATATATTAATTAGCAAAGATATTGTTCACCTGCAATTCTCCTGTGTCATGATTTCCACAAGCGAGAAAAATGATTACAACCTCATATCAGAAAATCTCTGCTCACATGAACAACCTATATTAGAACTTATCTACATGTAGTCTAACCAGTATTTTTTACATGTTTTTAATAACAAATTTCTACAAACGACTGTATTAGCACATATTATACAGCTACATGTACCATTATGTTTATCAGCTATTTTTTTAGGGTGAATTTGGGGCCTGCATGATTTTGCTGTATTTTCCCAAATTTCATGCAAAAGTGACATTACTTTCCAAAATCATGCTTTTTGTGTGATATATTTCTCAAAGTCACAAGGCAAGGAGGTAGAACAATCAAATTCGTGAATTTTATATCCCCCGCTTGCAGGACATATTGTAGGTAAACATTATTGAGGTTAGGTTTAAACATGTGAGTATCGTGCTGTTGAGACATATAATGTATGCATAGCTTGAAACTCGACGCGAAAAAAAAAAGAACCTAATACCTCATTAATTATCCGTAAATATGCACAAATCACATCGGTTGGCAAACTTAGCATGAGTCGGATGTGCATACGGAATTTGGTTGAAAAATCTGCACAAATACAGCAATTATCACACGTAAACTAAAGAGTGCCCGAGATGGTTGGAAAGACAGAGGAACACAAACATTGTTATTTAGAAGGAATTTGGCTAATATTTGCTCAAGTTATTAAGCGGAAACTACATATAATGACGTTTTTCGTTAATCAAGGGGCCATAACTCTGCCAAATAGAATCCAATTAAAGTGGTTGTCAAATTTGGCTGAGCCCTTAATGCATTGAACCCTGTTACTAAGTTTGAAGACAATCGGATAATATTTGCAAGATGTTAATAAACAGAAATGGCAGATAATGATGTTTTTTCGTTATTTAAGGGGCCATAACTCCGCCAAATGAAGGCTCCTGAAAGTGGTCATCTAACTTGGCAGAACCCTTAAAACATTTAACCCTGGTACAAAGTTTGAAGAAAATAGGTTAACATTTGTTGCAGTTATTGCACAGAAACGAAGCATGGCAGACAGACAGACAGACAGAGACAGACAGACAGACCAACCCAAATTAATATCCCCAGTTTCGGTGAAAGTGGGGGGTAAAAAACACTGATCTATGCTTATGTCTCGACACTGAACAATGGCATAAACAATAAATTTTGGCATCTGACCAACTACATGTAGAACTTAATACAGTAGCATAAGAGTTTATATATCAGAGTATGCGTAATTTAATAGGAAAATAATTCAAACAAAGGGGCCATATTGCATGTACAATGGCTAAGTGTTTAAGGCGTCTGACATTCTGCTACCACTAGCCCTCCACCTCTTTGTAGCAGGTTTGAGGCCTACGTGGGACAGTCGCCTGGTACTGGCCGTAGATCGGTGTTTTTTCTCCAGGAACTCTGGCTTTCCTCCACCACCAAAACCTGGCACGTCCTTAAATGAACATTAATAGGACGTAAAACACAAACAAACCAAACCAAATCAAATATCTTCCTTTCGCTTTGACCTTTCTACAAAAATTTTGTATGACGCTTCTACAATGGGATTTAATAAATTTTGACTTACACCATCAATGAAAACTCCACTTGGCTGATGATGGATGTCAACGAGAACTTTTCTGGGGATGCGTTTGCCCATGTCCAGGACGTTAGCATCGTACTGTTCCACGCTGTAGTCGAGCATCTCTTTAAGAATATCACGTACATAGCCGCTCATCAATTCCTCAATGTCTGTACTCATCTCCGGATGACTTTGGTCGAATTTCCTTAAATGATCTTTCATGTTTTTTTCCAGTTTCATTCGTTTCAAAAACGCAACACATTCACTGGGTGGCAGAAAATCCTTTAGTTTGTGTTGTTCCAGAATATATTCGACCGTTTTTTTCTCGATACGACTGTTGATCAGGATGTTCAAGACAGCCAGACCGCGACATTTTGCCGAGGTCAGTTGGTTGCGTGACCCATAAATGTTCTTCATTCGCTCACTTATCAAGTCCTCCCTCAGTTGATGGTACAGATATCTTATCACATCACTTCCAAAAATTTTCAACTTCGACAGTCTATCTTTCGCTGGTATAAATCTCACTCGTACAAATATTTTCAAATTTGCATCATTTGTAGTCTGTCCCTGCAGGTCTTTTATCATGCAGCGCGGACTCTTCCAGATAAAGCGGTCATTTTTTTTCGTGTCAAGTATAGCAAGTCCAAACAGATGAATGGCCGCTGGTCCTATTGTAGGGTAGTATTTGATCAGTAACTTTTTGATAATTTCCTCGACAGATCTGGATGTGTCCCCAACTGGGAGGCATTCAGAGAACCCGCCATGCAGGTGAACTGTGACGTCACTCAGTGTTTCAGGTATGGTAGAGCCTTCACAGGATGAACCGTTGGACTGCAGACAACCCATTTGTCCACTGTAGTCTTCCCCTGAAGTTGTTCGACTGACTGTTTCCAGTAGAAGAGTATGGCCTGATCCAGACATGTATATTCTTTGGATATTTACAGGGGGAGATGTTGATTGAAGTTATGAACTCAGGAGAAGCTGCAGGATCTCATTCTCAAGTGGGTTTCTTATCTTGATGATACTGTGTTCTTGTTGCTACAAAAAGAAACGTGAAATTTTCAAGATTATATATACTTCAGAAAATAATTACAATGTATATATACAATGTCTGAGTGTTTCATACGAAACAATAAATCTTGTTATGTTCTTTATCCACCTCTTGTTGAATTTCCTGTAACAGAAGTATAATTTATTTCTTCAATTCCTCCGATAGGAGTCGAACCCAGGACCTCTGGCTAATACTAGTCTTACACTCTACCGAATGAGCTAAAGAGAAATTCTCCCTAGCCGAGTCGGTAGGAAGCAACTACTATATTTTTACCAGGGTGACATCCCCATAGGAAATAGTATGCTGTTATAATAGGGATTCCCCCAACCCCCACTGCAACACTAAAAGAAATTATCGTGCAGCAATACATTTTTGTATATCGCTATATTTGAATATGGTATATATGATACACAATATTTTTGGGAGGTCAGAACACATTTTCCAGATTTTGTCGTTTCTGAATTTAGTTTAACTCTTATCCGTTCCAACAATGCGAGTGACAGCTCCAGCTCAGCATACACATATATATATAGAAATATGTGAATTGTGTGAAACTTGAAAGTCATGGCTATTTTGGACCAAGTCTATTTCCAGCTGTAATATTTCCATAAAAAAAATGCAACTTATCTTTTCTCTTTGCATCTACTGTTACTATATATGTATCTTGATACTTATAGGTATCGTTTCTTGACAACAGTACCGTGATAGGTATCGTATCATGACCACAGTACCGTGATAGGTATCCTATCATGACCACAGTACACTGATAGGTATCGTATCATGACCAGAGTACCGTGATAGGTATCAGTGATAGGTATCGTATGATGACCACAGTACCGTGATAGGTATCGTATCATGACCACAGTACCCTGATAGGTATCCTATCATGACCACAGTACAGTGATAGGTATCGTATCATGACCACAGTACCGTGATAGGTATCAGTGATAGGTATCGTATCATGACCACATTACCGTGATAGGTATCGTATCATTACCACAGTACAGTGATAGGTATCGTATGATGACCACAGTACCGTGGTAGGTATCGTATCATGACCTCAGTACCGTGATAGGTATCGTACCATTACCACAGTACCGTGATAGGTATCAAATCATGACCACAGTACCGTGATAGGTATCAAATCATAACCACAGTACCGTGATAGGTATGGTATCATGACCACAGTACCGTGATAGGTATCGTATCATGACCACAGTCCCGTGATAGGTATCGTACCATTACCACAGTACCGTGATAGGGATCAAATCATGACCACAGTACCGTGATAGGTATCAAATCATCACCACAGTACCGTGATAGGTATGGTATCATGAACACAGTACCGTGATAGGTATCTTATCATAACCACAGTGCCGTGATAGGTATCTTATCATAACCACAGTACCGTGATAGGTATCGTATCATAACCACAGTACCGTGATAGGTATCTTATCATGACCACAGTACCGTAATAGGTATCAAATCATGACCACAGTACCGTGATAGGTATGGTATCATGACCACAGTACCGTGATAGGTATCGTATCATGACCACAGTACCGTGATAGGTATCGTATCATGACCACAGTACCGTGATAGGTATCGTACCATTACCACAGTACCGTGATAGGTAGTATATCATGACCACAGTACTGTGATAGGTATCGTATCATGACCACAGTACCGTGATAGGTATCGTATCAAGACCACAGTACCGTGATAGGTATCGTATCATGACCACAGTACCGTGATAGGTATCAAATCATGACCACAGTACGGTGATAGGTATCCTATCATGACCACAGTACCGTGATAGGTATCTTATCATGACCACAGTACCGTGATAGGAATCAAATCATGACCACAGTACGGTGAGAGGTATCCTATCATGACCACAGTACAGTCATAGGTATCGTATCATGACCCCAGTACCGTGATAGGTATCGTATCATGAACACAGTACCGTGATAGGTAGTATATCATGACCGCAGTACCGTGATAGGTATCGTATCATCACCACAGTACCGTGATAGGTATCGTACCATTACCACAGTACCGTGATAGGCATCAAATCATGACCACAGTACGGTGATAGGTATCGAATCACGACCACAGTACCGTGATAGGCATCGTATCATGACCACAGTACCGTGTTAGGTATCGTATCATGACCACAGTACCGAGATAGGTATGGTATCATGACCACAGTGCGGTGATAGGTATCGTATCACGACCACAGTACCGTGCTAGGTATCGTATCATGACCACAGTAACGTGATAGGTATCGTATCATGACCATAGTACCGTGATAGGTATCAAATCATGACTACAGTACGGTGATAGGTATCCTATCACGACTACAGTACCGTGATAGGTATCGTATCATTACCACAGTACCGTGATAGGTAGTATATCATGACCGCAGTACCGTGATAGGTATCGTATCATCACCACAGTACCGTGATAGGTATCGTTTCATGACCACAGTACCGTGATAGGTATCAAATCATGACCCCAGTACGGTGATAGGTATCGTATCATGACCACAGTACCCTGATAGGTATCCTATCATGACCACAGTACAGTGACAGGTATCGTATCATGACCACAGTACGGTGATAGGTATCGAATCACGACCACAGTACCGTGATAGGTATCGGATCAAGACCACAGTACCGTGATAGGAATCGTATCATGACCACAGTACCGTGATAAGTATCTTATCATAACCACAGTAACGTGATAGGTATCTTATCATGACCACAGTCCCGTGATAGGTATCGTATCATGACCATAGTACCGTGATAGGTATCAAATCATGACTACAGTACGGTGATAGGTATCCTATCACGACTACAGTACCGTGATAGGTATCGTATCATGATCACAGTACCGTGATAGGTATGGTATCGTGACCACAGTACCGTGATAGGTATCGAATCATGACCACAGTACGGTGATAGGTATCGAATCACGACCACAGTACCGTGATAGGCATCGTATCATGACCACAGTACCGTGGTAGGTATCGTATCATGACCACAGTAACGTGATAGGTATCGTATCATGACCATAGTACCGTGATAGGTATCAAATCATGACCCCAGTACGGTGATAGGTATCGTATCAAGACCACAGTACCGTGATAGGGATCGTATCATGACCACAGTACCGTGTTAGGTATCAAATCATGACCACAGTACTGTGGTTATGATAAGATACCTATTACGGTACTGTGGTCATGATAGGATACCTCTCACCGTACTGTGGTCATGATTTGATGCCTATCACGGTACTGTGGTCATGATAAGATACCTATCACGTTACTGTGGTTATGATAAGATACTTATCACGGTACTGTGGTCATGATACGTTCCCTATCACGGTACTGTGGTTATGATTTGATACCTATCACGGTACTATGGTCATGATACGATACCTATCACGGAACTGTGGTCATGATAGGTAGTATATCATGACCACAGTGCCGTGATAGGTATCGTATCACGCTCTCAGTACCGTGATAGGTATCGTATCACGACCACAGTACCGTGATAGGTATCGTTTCATGACCACAGTACCGTGATAGGTAGCATATCATGACCACAGTTCCGTGATAAGTATCGTATCATGACCACAGTACCGAGATAGGTATGGTATCATGACCACAGTACAGTGATAGGTATCAAATCATGACCACAGTACGGTGAGAGGTATCCTATCATGACCACAGTACCGGGATAGGTATCTTATCATAACCACAGTACTGTGGTCATGATTTGATACCTGATACGATACCTATCACGGTAATGTGGTCATGATACCATACCTCTCACGGTACTGTGGTCATTATACGATACCTATCACGGAACTGTGGTCATGATAGGTAGTATATCATGACCACAGTTCCGTGATAAGTATCGTATCATGACCACAGTACCGGGATAGGTATCATATCATGACCACAGTTCCGTGATAGGTATCGTATCATGACCATAGTACCGTGATAGGTATCAAATCATGACTACAGTACGGTGATAGGTATCCTATCACGACTACAGTACCGTGATAGGTATCGTATCATCACCACAGTACCGTGATAGGTATGGTATCATGACCACAGTACGGTGATAGGTATCGTATCACGACCACAGTACCGTGATAGGTATCGTATCATGACCACAGTACCGTGATAGGTAGTATATCATGACCACAGTTCCGTGATAGGTATCGTATCATGACCACAGTACCGTGATAGGTATCGTATCATGACCACAGTACGGGGATAGGTATCGTATCATGACCACAGTACCATGATAGGTATCGTATCATGACCACAGTACCATGATAGGTATCGTATCATGACCACAGTAACGTGATAGGTATGGTATCATGACCACAGTACCGTGATAGGGATCAAATCATGACCACAGTACGGTGATAGGTATCGTATCACGCCCACAGTACCGTGATAGGTATCGTATCATGCCCACAGTACCGTGATAGGTATGGTATCATGCCCACATTACCGTGATAGGTATCGTATCATGACCCCAGTACCGTGATAGGTATCGTATCATGCCCACAGTACCGTGATAGGTATCCTATCATGACCACAGTACCCTGATAGGTATGGTATCATGACCACAGTACGGTGATAGGTATCGTATCACGCCCACAGTACCGTGATAGGTATCGTATCATGAACACAGTACCGTGATAGGTATGGTATCATGCCCACATTACCGTGATAGGTATCGTATCATGCCCACAGTACCGTGATAGGTATGGTATCATGACCACACTACCGTGATAGGTATCGTATCATGACCACGGTACCGTGATAGGTATCGTATCATAACCACAGTACCGTGATAGGGATGGGATCATGACCACAGTACCGTGATAGGTATCCTATCATGACCACACTACCGTGATAGGTATCGTATCATGACCCCAGTACCGTGATAGGTATCGTATCATG